TGAAAACCTCTAAAATTTGTAATGGTAGGCTACACAGCTCCGGGAAAAGCCAAGAACGATTTAGATAATTACAGGAATGCTATTTTATGTTACTTATGTTACAGACATTGATGGGACTACTGTATCGTTTGTGTTACTACATATATTCAGTAATATAAATAGGGTTTAATTTCCATCAAAAGCTAAGACCTTTCAGGACGTGCCCCCATGTGTGTTGTGCTAATGTGTAATATATGTGTGCTGAAGGAAAAAGATGTTGGTATATCTGCTTCCCTGTGATAGCGCGGATTTAATGCCGAATGTATACTGCTACTTCACTCAAACCCATATGCATGCCGAAATCACCAGGTACAGCATTCCGCCCGGTTACGTTATACTGACAATATTTTCAAAACAAGCGTATGATCTATTCACGCCAAAGTAATAAATAGTAAACAATAACTAAAAAAGGTGGCATATAAAACCATAAAGGGCTATCTAATATATCCATGCCATACTTGCTAATCGACAATGAGGTTTTTTACAGTGTTCTGAACAGTTTATTGAGTTATAATGGCACCCATAATTTCAGTCTACATCATACATAAAGGTCTTGTGGGGAACCTTTGCACTTCTATGAGCCGTCCTATATTACATAGCGTAGGGTTTTCCTTACGTTTTACAACACTGTTTAACCTCCTTTGTGTTTTTGTCTTCGTCTGCGTAAGGATACGCATCCATGCAATAGCTTTGGAAGGCGATATATAGTCTACGTGTATTGTTTTACCCTGACAGAAAAACGTTAAATCTCGTGAGAATAAAAGCAGCAATACAAACCGTTTGGTCACACTACTAGAAAAAAAATGCGTTTTACTGATACATTGCATAATATATAAGATAAAAAGAGAGTCTATATAAAGAAATCTCAACCGTTAGAAGTAGTTAAAAAAATACTGTTCTCCTCGTGTATGTCTTTTAATAGCGTGCATGTTGTACTGTTGTATCGCATCCATGTTTTACGAGGTGACTGTTTTCTTTTGTGGAATTTGCTCATGATGAATTCAATAAATAACATTGATCTGCAATGCTTGGTACTGTATCTTCCTTTTCCTCTTTACTGTCCATCTATAACCCAGTAAGTCGGAGACGTTGAAAACAATACACCTGCTGTTAACAATAGATGATATCGCGACCAGTGGAACTCTTCAAATAGGAGGGGATTTAACTGTACTCGCTGGGGCAACAGATATATGAACAACATGGTAGCGCCAAAACATTCAGATACGAATTTCCACGAACTTCCATGTAATGATTTGGGTAATATTTAAAAATCAAAAGGTATCACCTACTTCAAATAAGAAAAGGGGTATCTAGTACACCTATGATAGCAAGCAGACATGTTAAATTGGCCAGATATTGAAAAAGAGGACGAAGGTAAAGCGGCACAGTGGTGACGGACCGCGGCGGTACACAGTACCGTGTGTTACCTTTATGTTAATAAAACGTCAGAAGGCTTGTTTTGGACAAAAAAAATGATTGGAATGTCATTACTAAATGCATTTGATGTGACCTCTTTTCTTGTGAGTTATTTTTGTCGGTTTAATACAGTGAAGGTGGGGCATATTGTCTGCACATGGCAGATTGTTTTACTCCCGTATTCTCGCATTCTCTCGCGAGACTTGTGCATTTTCCGGCAAGAACTCTTCGAAGGGGAGTAACTCGAGGATGGTCGCGATATCATCTATTGCGACTAATTTGGGAACCTGCAGATTTGTGGATTGCTTATGTGCCCTGTTCTTGGGCACACAACACCAACCAAAACACATATTTCGCACCAATTGCAATACTTTGTATCTTTGTATTGGTCACTACCTCTGTCTACCTTTTGTATCCCAGTGCCTTATGGGACGTTCGTCCAATTGGGGAAGACAAACAATTCTGTACCCAGGCTAAAAGAAACAAAAGTCCTTTAAAATGGTTATAATTGTTCCCTAGTTAACGTTCGGCATCAAGGGTATTGGCAATAACTGGTTCATCTGTTGTCAATGTAATATGATAGGCTGGAGTGCTGTGCCAAGAGTCTTTGGCGTAGTATTTCAGTGAGGTAGCACTATAAAGTCGTCATCAGATTCGCGCTATCACAAGGAGGCAATTACAATCTAACAATCTTGTACATAATTCACATCATTCACATCACAGTGAATGTGTGTACGTGTTAATTAGCATGGTCGGATGATTGCTGATTTAAGTATCTTTCTCCTTATTCAGACACATCTTATACAGGTATACATCTGCCTTGTCAGGAATATTTCAACAGCTGTACATCTCCCCTTAATTAAACTGATCTCATAAAACAAATGTACGTTGTATTTGTCTTTAGTCAGGCTAATCTCAATACCTGCTATTTACATATAATCCGTCACACCTCTACATGTATCTATGCAGACCTGATGTATCTTATTGATTAAACAATTACCGATTTCTTGTAAAATTGAGTGTAACGTGTTGAATACGCATTAATTCCAATTTGACCTTACTTAAGTTATTATGAGCGGATGAAATCTGTGAAATTGAGGATTAAATCAGGAGTTGGTAGCATTTAAGCGCACCAGATGGGTTATTCATAGATTTCCATTCTGTCATTCAGAATAAATTTATAATTATAATTACTGAAATGAAATAATTCGAAAACTATCAATTATCAGGGGTTTTATCTATACAGAAACCAATATGTAGCCGACGATGTAACAAAGAGTTTTACCATGATGAAAAGCCTTGCCAGATAATATACCTTTCATGGGCATGACGTCATATTGCAAAAACAGTGAAATGACGTCATTCCGCTGCAAATTAGCCATTATTTTAATCTATTTTGGTGGATTTTATTTTCCAGATCAACTAATTTCTCTGCATTTATTGCGATTTGATTTGATTTGGAACTTATTCTTTTAGTATAAACTAAACTGTGATACGACACTTTTGAATGATATAGATTAAAATCGATTCAGTTGTAAAGAAGTTCATATTTTTCATTAAAAATGCTACTTCGACACTCGATCAAATAAAGTGTTTAGCAAACGATATAAGAAAACGACTGTATCATATGTAAACTGTGTGGGATAGAAATATCTTAATTCTTGAATACATCATTTGTGTTGAAATGCCTTGGCAGAGCCTCAAGATTTGCACAAAATACTTTTATATTTAGATTTCTATCATACATACATAAATTGTATTTACATATGCCATATTGAATTAATCTAAAAAACACACAAAAACAAAATCAATATATGTTAAATAGATAACCAAGGAAAAAAACAATAAAGCACATTTATTGCAACTTAATCTCGCAAAGAATAGATGTCAACCTGTTAACACGATAACAAAATTAGTCAATGTGTAATAAAAATGAATCGCATAGACAATGGATGAAACTACTCACTGTTAACGTCCATACACACGCGTTATACTGTTAACAGCACAAGGAGAGTATATAATCTGAAGCTGTCATTGAAAGAAGTAGATGGATTCGTTTCTATGTGGGATCATTGGCAATTAACTTAAATGAACAACACTGTCAAGGCAGAAGCGGATGTTTGTGATTGATTGGCCCCGAGCCGAGATGAAAGTTACCCAAGTCGTGATGGCAGCGAGTGTGTCACTGATGGTAGTACATGTCTTTGACGACAATTCTCAATCGTTCCGTGACGGTCGACTTTTCACGATGACAAAAATGGATTTAGGCCATGAACAGTACTAATGGTGTATGTGAGAGATGGAAATCCACAGTGTCGTAGAGAAGAGAACTGATTCATTTATTGATATGATGCTTACAGTGATAGACGTCAATAGAACACTGCAGACCGAATCCATATAGAGAACTTCCGCGGGATATATTGTGTTATATAGATTTACTTCAACACAACGTACATCGGTATATCTGCAAGTTTTCCTTTCTAATCATCTGTTTCGAGACATTATATGGATACGTATACTTCCGGGCCTTAATTGACGGTTCTGATTATAGCAAAATGGTTACCACCGGTACGTAAGCTTATACGTTCTGGAACATTGGCCTTAATGTATCTCGCTGGACACTCACATCCATGCCTCAGTTATGTTGCCTAATAGGTGATAAGCGTGGCATACGCTGGTCAGCGGTCTTCACCGTCGTTTGATGACTTAGGTTATGGTACTTATCCTCAGAAATATCATCTAGAAATCGTATTAGACGAAAAGATGTTTAGTGAAGCTTGGAATTAAATTTGTAATTGTGGATAGATGTGTTTTGGTATGATACAGTAAACATTACGATATCATCATTTCTTTTTAACTCGGCAAATATATTGACATGATTTGGATATAGATAGATGTACAAACTACTGACGGAATGTACTGTTGGAACAGTCGGTATAATTTTGAAATCTGTGAGGAAAAGGCAGTATTGAATAAGTTAAACTTGTGTCATTTAAAACTGACCTTTCCATGAATATAAAACACAGCAACGTTTGACAGCCGTAAGTGTCGTGCATAGAAATAGTTACAACTGTAACAGTTGCGTCTAGAAATTGGATTATTTAAATGTAAAAGATTGGTATGGATTTTTAAACTTACTAAGTGAGAAAAAACAGATGGGTGTTATTTCCATTTCACATGCAATTTGTTCTTGCTGTATGTAAAATAGTCTTGCAGCCTGAACATGGTTACATTCCGAGTATGATTATTTGAAAGTTATTTTTTGTCGCAGAATACGATATTTGGAATGTTGAATGTTTAGAAAGTTTGATATTATGCAAAAGACAGCGACGTTCTTTCCACTTTTGTCTCTGGAAGTGTACAATCTAGGAATACCATTGATCGCTTTAACTTTGTTCTTTCATGAAATGATAACATTTTTGTGACCAATACATAAGCTATTGAAAACGCATACAGCTTTCTACTAACCTTGTTCATTCGCCGTTTTCACCAATCCTATTATCGGACCGGATACGATCTGTGGCGACCATTCCCGGTTGGTGGTGAAAATGGATATTAACGGTACCACTCTGAGTACACTGGCGGAAACTGACTTGTTGTTACAATTGCTAGGGGATAAAAGGAAAGGACTCCCCTCTGTTGTCACTTTAACTGTCGTTTACAGTATCATCTTCATAACAGGCGTCATCGGAAATGTAAGCACCTGCCTCGTTATAGCAAGGAACACGTACATGCACACGGTCACCAACTATTATCTTTTCAGCCTGGCCGTGTCCGATACCCTAACGCTCGTGCTTGGTAAGTAATTTTTACTTTTTTCAAAATTTTCCTAAATTTGTATGAATATTCAACACCAATCCTCTGATTTGGGTATTACTGCTATACAAATGGTTGGTATTATTGTGTCTTGTAATAGACGGGCAATGAAAAACTTTACTTTATCTGCTGTGATTATTGTAATATTGAAGGCCCTTTGTAGTTAATTTAATAACCTGAACTGTCGTCAGGACCTTAAATGCGATAAACCAAACCAAAATTGTTTCCCATATACTCTTTCTATTCATCGGTCCTATTTTAGACATCCGTCTTCAAATAGCATTTACCATATTCCTGTTTCTTGTTTCATTTAAACACCATGTCTTCTCCTACAAGTTTTACTAAAAACCCTTATTCTTTATGAAGTAACCGCATGGGGATGGGGAGTAATAGCATATTAGCCCTGCTGCTATTTGTTATTTATGTAAGTCAAAATATCAAATATCCAACCAAAACCGGGCGCGTGCTGCTGCTTATTACATTAATGAGAACACACACAAAAAAGAAACTATAACAAAGCAAATATATTATTATTATTATTCTCCAGGAAACATAAAAATATTACTCATAGAACAGGGTGTGTATCCCCCTCCTGATGACAAAGGGCAATAACTCACAAGGAAACCATTTTTGAGACTTAGTTAAAGGGATGTACTATTACTTGAATGAAGGATTGCCCCGCGACATTTTGGACGTACGCTCTAAGGGAAATGATAGTACACATAAAGGTTAATAGCACACGAACGGTGTTTGAGGTTATTTCTTTGACTAAAAGTACTCAACGTTGCGTTGATAACAGTATGGATCCTTAGAGTTTTCAACTTGTGTATTTTTTTCTTTCCTTTGATATTAGTGTTCAACTCCATTAACCCAGGTGGAGTATACATGTACAATGGTCTGGGGTGGGTGTTGCGGTATCTGTGCTGTATCATTCAAGTGAGGTGGCACTATAAATGATACTGTTGAAAGCACGGTCCCACTACAAACAGAACACAATACATATCCAGCACACACACTGGCATACACACATAGGGATATATTAGCCAGGTGGCATGGGATTAGTAGTTAGCGCCTGATATGGCAGCTCCTGTGAATTCCTAAATATTGTATAGATTAATATATATATGTTAATTGTATTGACTGTATAAAATTGTATATCTATGTACTGTAAAGCGCTTTAGAGTGGCTTATGTTAGCTAGATAGAGCGCTATATCAAATGTTGAATATTATTATTATTATTATTATATTTATAACAAATTCTTCATTAAATAATTTAATAGCATACTGCTTTTCTATATAAACCCTCAGTTATTGTTCGCATTGCCCTTGTTCTTAAGGCCTTGTATGTCATTACTTGATACATGCTGTAGAATTGTTTTGCTTTACGACGCACAGTCTATTTGTCATTTAATGTCCAACAAAACCAAAACAAGAAATAAAAAGGGAATTTCAAGGTTAAACATATAAGCAGACGATGCAACACTATCAATAGTACACTAATTTGTTGTATAATATATCATATCTAATCCTTTAGATTGACTGAACGTATGTAGCGTACACCACTAGGATAGAAAATGTATCGAACTCTTTTTTTTTATGTCGGTACAATATATAATTTGTCATGCACAGTTAAACACCGCCGCATTCAATCAAAAGATATTCGACAGTAACTAGCTCATCAAGAAAAGGACATTAGACAGATCTTTATTTCGCAATATGCAACCACATGTTATGTATGTTTGGTCTTTGCACACTTTTTTATTATTATTATTACATTCGTAATGGTCCATCAACACAAAAATAAAGGCATAAGGGCCTATAAAATGTCAATTTAAAATATGATAAATGTCTATGCTTAGTCGCAATAATCAGGCAATTTCTTTTCTGATTCGGTGGAAAAAAAATTCAATGCATCTATCACAACTTCTAGTTTGATCTTCGTCATCCATAAATCCTTCCATTTTGAAAGAAACAAAGTCGTAAACAGTTATAATGAACTGAACAACAAGCTGAAACATTCAATGCTTTGCGAGAGTATGCCATACGTGGGCGTTATTATGAGAAACAGTGACCAACTTTGCTTGAACATGTCTATTTCTTTGCCTTTTTAACCAGTATGGGCAGTGGAACAGGTATATACAGATGAGGCGGTTGCGCATGCCAGTAAATGGTTGTTTCGTGATGTGTGAATGAGAAGAGGGACATAACGTCTGTCTGTCTGAGTTGTTTGTTCATTGATCTGGGTACATTGGCAGGTGACAGCATAATGTCCGCACTGTGTGGTGGCGAGGTGGCGTGACTAGGTTTATCTATAGACAGGATCTCTGTCAGTGTCCAGCGAACAGCTATCAGCAACCCATTCAAACACACAACCATCTTTATTTATACAAATACGAACATTTCAATGAACCATTGACTGCCGCAGGTAAACATTTATTTAATGAGATGGATGATGTGTAGTGCTCATAGAAATCAAGTCATTTGAGAGTTCATCCGACGGAGAATATTGAATTAATATCTATTTGAATTAAACCACCATAATCATTTTAATTTGTTTTTCCATTATATATCATGTAAATCCTAATGAGCATATTATTTGCTCCTATATGCTCATATATGGTCAGATCATATATGGTCATATGAAGATATCTGCAACACAAGTTGTAAAAGCAGAATATTGGCAACTTTTATGGTTGAAAATATTCTTTCGCTGTACCTTTTTGGGATTTTGTTAGTTGTCTTTCCTTCGTTTATATTTTGCCTTATTATCTTTGATTTTGAGTTTTAATTACGGTTTTTGGAAATAATGCAATCGCTGTACTTTTTTTCTAAATACATTGTAAGTCCTTAATGTATTGGTATTTTGCCCTATTTTCATCAAATTCGAAATAAGTTTTTGTCATTGTATTCGATGTCAGAAATGATCATCAAAACGCGCTTCAAATACCTTCCAAAATCAATATCCAATTGTATGTATTTGAATATTTAAAAGCATTATTTGTAAGAAACGTAAATAGTAACCATAGAGTGTACGATAGAAAGCCAGGCAAAAGACAAAGCATTGATGCACGTGTAGGAACTATTGTTATTTAGTAGAACTCCAGTACTTCGTGTAACGAAATTAAGTTATCAAACGTGATATTTAGGCCTGGTGTATCCCACTGCATGTCACTGTAAGGGGAGATTAACGTTGGACTGCAAGCAGATATAGGGGTTTTCCTGTCTACATTAAACACTTAACACGTCCTTAAATGGCATTGTTGATAAGACGTTTAACCTTATAATGCAAAAGCAAATCATCTGTGTCCTGTGTTTAAAGTGACTTTAAAAACCTCACCAAACTGACCTCGTTGCACCACTTTGCTTTTCACAATTACCTGCTCTTTCCTTTGGCGTTGTCTCCCGAGGCAACCGTCATCTATTGATCTTTGCTGTTGCGATTGCGTTACATTTCTATCAACAGGAAGCACATGTACTTATAAATGTACATACAATGTACCACATCCGGAAACCTACATTGCACAAATAAAAGCACGTCCTTAAATGACCTAAGCTGTTAATAGGACGCCTTTGAAACGAGAACATACAAACAATATTAACATTTTCGATGAGCCAAACAAACAGTAAAAATCAAACATGTAACAGTAAATGTTTGTTACATGTAGTGTACTCGCATTGGTTAGATCTTAAAGAACAAAAATACGTTTCATGCATTTGATCTTGTGAAATGTTGTCCATTGTTTTTGTTGAATATTTTCTGATATTTAATTTTAGAATAGACAAAACAATTAAGGCTACGAAGTATATACACAGGCAAAGAGAAAGAAACATGTAGAGCAAAGAACAGTCCAATTTAAAGATATTGGACTCTCAGGGCGCTTTTGATCTTCTGAATGTCAAGCTTTTACAGTTGATATAAATAAAAATTGAAATAATTCTGAAATTATCGCGAAGTAATAATTCAGACAATTGCTAAAAAAGAATTAATTACTAGAAGAACCAAAATGGTAAAATCGTTGTCTTTGACAATGCTGTATCTTATATATAAATAACGCTATTCATATGTAAGCTTCTCTAAGCTCTTTCATGTATTTAGCGACTGGCGCCGAGCGGACGTTATGCACCAGTAACTATCGTAGCAATTACAACTTTTGTGCCATGCCACAATCTCTTTGAGGATATCATACTTGTATTGAAGTTATATTTTCAGTTAACATCCCTGAATTTTAAAGTATAATCAAGTGGTATTTTCTATTACCCGATATCAACAGAAGCAATCATTTTGTAATTCTGTTTACATTGCGATCGAATGCAAGAACGTGCAGTGTCATTAATAACCGGGATATCAAAGACAGGCGATGGTATCGTCAGATAGTAATACGACAGGGGATATGAAGGCTATTTGTATTTGATCACACAAGCTTAACCTTGACTTAACCTTGACCTAACCTTGAATGACACGGGTTCCTGGTAAATCACAAGTTATTTGTTACAGTCACAAAGGAACGATGCAGCATATTTTCATTCATGTGATTGTTCTGGTGTATATCATGATGATTTACACATTGTGCATAACAATCGCAGACCTTGATACTTTGATCAATATAATATACCCACAGCAGTCTTTGAATACTTAAATTCGTAATCGATATTACCTGAGAAAATCAAAATCTTAAACCAAAACTTAACATTCAAAGGAGAACTGCGTTCGTCTAAACAGAGAAGGTTATGAGTTGTTCCAAAAGCCGTTGAATTAGAACTTTTGTACTTTTGCTCTGTTTGACCTTCAGCTTTTAATGAATGCTGGCTAGGACTTGTTAACCCTTTGTCTGTATAATAAGACCGGATGAAGTTTCTCGCTAGTGTCCGAAATATGACATTTTTGAGAGGTACATGTAGCACTTCTAGACAACCAGAAGAAAGAAGTCCACGGCTACATATTTGAGTCTCAAAACTTAATCTCTCTATCTCAAAATAAACA